TGGGGAATGACCCACCCAAACTTCTTCAGTGGTATCAGCTGCAGTTCTGGGGTATCATAAAAGCAAACAGCACAGTCCACTCATCGGCTGCTGAAAATTCCTAGGGCTAGGGTGTTGCTTTTTTCTTTCTTTCTATGAATCTTTACAGACTGCTGCAAGAGCTGCTTTGACTAAGATTTGCTCACTTTCTGAAAAATAAAGTTTCCTAGATATTTAATTTAACTAAATTGTAGACCTAGTTTCCCTCCTTTTTTCTTTTCTTTTAGCTTTGCACCTGAAGGTATAAGACTTTTATCAACTTTTGAACCACTTTTGAATGGTTTGGAAATTACTGCTGCTCAGTGGCATTGAGATTAATTAAAAAGTCACTTGCAAGAATCTTACTGCCTTTGTTTAGGGGTGGGAAACGGGCAGCTTCTGCATTTACAACAGTTAGAATAAAATAATAGATTTTCAAGCAATCATAGCTCACCATCTGAGGTGGTCAACAGCTGGGGTCAGAAAGCAATGTCATTCATAGAACACTATAGTACATTATGGAGATTTTATACTTTCATTAGAGGCAACTGCTGTTTGTCTCCCTCAGAGGTTTCCGAAATATATGGACACATGATCTGTATGGAAATGCCAATACTTTCCTTTTCACCCTGCCAATTTCCTGGGTTTTGGACCATGATATATGAAATTACCACATTGACATCACTGAGGGACATAATTAATGAGAATCAGAGGTCACAAAACCCACAAGAGCATTTAAACCAAGAAATATGAAGGAAAATTAGTCACATTTTCTTCCTCATTGTGGGAAAGCTGCAGCATTTGCAGTTACAAAAAGGTAAAACTATTAGGCCAGAACATCAATCAAGTGTTGTAAATCTGGCATAGCTCCCTGAATCAAATTACACCTGCTGAGGCTTTGGACCTTTGTGAGAAAATATTCCTGTTTGTAAAAGTTGCATGCAAATTTTGATACAAACAGCATGGCAACCCGATTTTCTTCAAAAAAGTAGATGACGCTTTATTGATGAATGCAATATGCTGATAGTGTGGGAGAGCACATTTCCTTTGTGGTGTTAGCCCACCAGAATATGCTACTGTGGAGGCTGTTCTGTTTGTGAATTTGCTGGGAGGAGAGGCCAAATAACGATTGGGGAGAGAAAGACAAAGAAAAGAATAACCCTGATTAAGTGAATCAGTTGCACTTTGTTACAGACAAATCACAAACCTTTTCATTCAGCAGCTGTTCACTGAGGTGCATATGATTGCAAACTGTTAACCTGCAAAATGTTTGGAGAAAAGTTGAACATACTGCATCAATAAATGTTTAGTCAAAGCAGACATTTCTTTTGCACCTTTTTATAAAAAAAACCAGTATTTTTTCATTTAAATTACAATAGATAAAAGTGTTCATGTAAGTGAAAGAAGACTCTACTGCTCTTTTCGTCATTATGCTTCCTCTGCCAGGCCTGACAACTAATGACAAGAATTCCTCTGGTAAATTGCAGCAATCAATCCATAAAGAGCACGGTCAGCTCACACAATACACAGCATGCAGATTGGTTCCCCCAATTTCCAGAATTTCAGAGCATCACATGCTGCACATAAATAATTGATGAACCATATGAAAAAATAAATATTCAGGATGGATCAAACTCATTATCCAGACCTACATTTGTGCCTTACACATTATCCCTTACTGATCTGAAACAAATGCCTTGCAAGCTTGGAAAGAATGTTCAGTGTCTTTCCATATTAAGTGGTCAGTTGAGCCACAAAAAATACAATGTGGCTAAAATAGAAATCTGGGAAAGAAAATGAGAAAATCAATGCAACAATGACCAGAAGCGTAAGAATAGAGCGAGGTTGCTAGAAGTATCAAAGAATCTAGCTTGTAAGGTAAAATAGGAGATTGCCTTTCAATAATTCAGACCAGATTTCTTTGTTTGAAGAATAGTTTCCCCTCTCATTTTAAAGATATACTTGTAATAACAGCAGACAGAGCTGTTTAGATATTTTACAGATGTAAAGACATTTTTCACAGTTCTAATAGCTGGATTCTGCCCTTTATTTATGTATAGCTCTGAATGGCATTCATAGGCAGAAATTGGCCTAAAGAATTTAAAATGAGAGCTATACTAGGTAGTAATATTACTTTTACTGCACCACATTATACTCTCCGAGATGTTACTAAATATCAGCTTGCTACTCCCAACATATGTGTTTAACTAACCATGGCAACTATGGGAGCCAGATTAAAAAAGAGTTCACTCCTGTTTGTAATTGCAGCTTTTCTTATTTCTAAGGATAACATCTACAGTCTCTACACTGTTTCATGGACAACACTTCCAGTGTCAACTGGAATCAGTTGGTGGTCACTAGACTATAAAAGAGG